CCGCCCCCTCCGCGCCTCCCCTCCCCCCACGCACACTCGCCCTCCATCCTCGCCCCGGATTGCTCGTCTCTGCCCCCCTTCCCTTTTTCCTCCCCCCTGCCCCGCGATTAGTCCATGGTGGAAAAGGGACTAGGTTTACCCTTAGTGAAGACATTTATCCTGAGAAGGGTACGTGCCCCCGCCGCCGCGCCCTCCCCACCCCGCGCCCGGTGCCCGGTGCCTGGTGCCTGCGCCCTCCCGCCGCGGCTAGTAAAAGGCCCCTCCTTCCGCCTCTAAGCCCCGGGCTGGGCTGCTGCGGGGCCAAGGTGGACAGGGGAAGGACGGCTTGCTGGTTCCACGTGGGGAAGGAGAGGCGATCTGAGTCGGCACCCTTTTCTCCTTAAACGCATCTCTTAAGCCAGACCCCAGCTCTGCCACTCCGTGGCTGGGCACCTAGGGCAAAGGTCGGCCACCCTGAGCCTCAGTTTTCTCATTTCTAAACTGGAGACAATCAAGGACCTTAATTTTAGAGCAGTTTCTGACATTTAATAGCTCGTAGCAATTTTTAGTTGTTATTATTGCTATTATTATGATTATACTTGATATCACTTTTCCGAGCATAGAAAACTAACTTTTTTTCAGGCTCTATGAGCCTTTGTGCCAAGCACTTCTCAAGGATTCTTACAAAGATTCCTTCCAATCGCCACACAAGAGGGTTCATCATTCCATAAATGTGGATACTGAGTCTCAAAGGAGAAGCCACATGCCCAAGGAACCTTACCCTGCAGGGGAGCCTGGGACTTGAGGGTGGGGAGGTGTTGGGAGAGTCACAGACAGGCCTACCAAAGACCCTTCCTCTTGGAGCCAGCAAACCACGGGATGGGGGCGCCCAGCACTGCCCCCCTCCCCCTTCTTACTAGCTTTGGCCTTGGTCTGACCCCTCACCCCTCCCAACCACTGTCCGACTCCCCCTGGCACCCTCAGTCTGGCCGGGATTGAGCTTGCAATGAAGCATCAGCCTTGGGTGGGGGTGGGGGAGGTGAGGCTGAGCATGTGACTGATGGGGGGAGGGGGGAGAGCCTGAGATGATAAGGAAAGTGGCCTGGGGTAGCAGCGAAGATGGGGGGTGCACGCCCCAATACTGGGGTGCTGGGGGTCGGCAGGCTTCTACGACCCTGAGCCTCAGTAACTTCCCACCCCTCCCAAGTGACCTGGATCAACCTTGGACTGACCCATTCTCCTTCCCCACCCCCACTACCAACTTTGCTCCTGTTCCTCCCCCATGCATGGGGTGCACCAGGTGTGGAGAGCTTCCTAGGGGGCTGGGAAGGGGCCTGGTCGGTGTGCTGGCAGTCACAGGTCCCCAGGTCCCACAGGATGCCCTTCCCAAAGTCACAGAGGGAGGGACGGGGATAGGAGTTTTTAAGCTGCCCTTCAATGATCCTCATCGAAACCAATCAGGATGAAAAATAATAATAATAATAATAACCCAATCAGGATGCTTGAGCTGGCGAGAAACAGAAGTGCACTTCACCCTGGCTCAAGCAGACAAAGGAATTTGTTGGCTCTGGAACTAAAAGATTAGGGGTTGGGTTAGCATCAGGAATAGCTGGATCTAGAGTCTTCAACAATGCTACTGGTCACTGGTCTCTGCTGAGACCTCTGTGGGGTGGCCTCTGCCCTCACTTGGCAGAGACAGCCTTGCCAGTTTAGCACCAGAGGGACAGAGAGACTCTTCCTAATAGTTACAGCCAAAGCCCCAGGGCCAACTCCTACTGGTCCAGCTTGAGTCATATGACCATCCCTCAGCCAATTACTGCAGCCATGGGCAGGGAATGCTCTAACTGGGCAGCCCTGGTTCATTTAGACATACCTGAAGTGTGGGATGGATGGTGAGGGCATTTCTAAATGGAAACTTGGGATTGTCTATTAGAAGAGGAATGGTATGGAGGCAGGGAAAATAAAAGAGGAAGTCTGGCTGGAGCAGAATTAGCAAGGGTGAGAGTAGAGGGTGGTGAGGCAGGAGAAGTAACAGTGAGACATATCGAGAGGGACATTGCAGGTCACAAAAAGGACTTGATTACTTCAGAGTGAGATAGGAGGGTTTTGAGCGAAGGAGGAATGTGATCTGACTTAAAAGGTTTTCTCTGGCTGGTGTACTGAGAGAAGCTCAGAGGAGGATTCAAGGAGACAGGGAGGAGTCTACTGTAATATCCCAGGAGTGTGATGATGGGGACTGGGTCAGGATGGAGGTCAGGGAGGTGGGTGAAATTCTGGATGCATTTTGAAGGTAGAGCTGGTGGGCTCTTCTAATGTACCAGTACTTAGAGAGGAAGTGAAGACAAAGAAGGGGGTCAAGGACTGAGGTGTAGGGTGTCCCAACAGTTTGAGGATTGACAGAAAAGGAGGAAATGATAAAAGAGGGTGAGGAGTGACTAGTGTGTAGGGTGAGAACTTGGAGAGTGTGGCATTGTTGCAGCCAAGAGGAGAAAATGAGGCACAGGAAGCCAGAGTGTCAGATGCTGCCAAGATCACGATGTGTAAGATGAAGGCTTAGTTTTGACCTTATGGTGGTCAGTCAAAAGAGAAAACTGGGGGATAGACACATTAGGCTCAGAGAAGTTAAGAGATCTACCTAAGATCACAGAACAAGGCAATAAAAAGCCAGAGCCTTGGATTCTTGGCTTCACCAAGAGTATCTACCACCCCAGCCAACCCTCAGTGCCTCCCTGTCAGGGCTGTTGACCTGGTGCTGCCAGCATGTCGTAGGCGGGAAACAGTCCAGGTCCCTTCTGGTGGGTGGGAAAGAATGGAGCTGACACCAAGCATTCTCCCCTGACCCACCCAGGCTCCAGTGTGGAAGACCCTGTGGGTGAAGTCTCCGTCCACGTTGAGCTCTTCACTCATCCAGGAACCGGTGAACACAAGGTCACAGTGAAAGGTGAACAGCCTGAGGTGGGAAGGGGAGTGCCCCAGCCAGGATGTACTAGGTTCTAAAACAGAAACCAATCTCTTGACTTAAGCAACAAAAACTTTGTCATTAAGAAGAAAAAAGTTTTCATAAAACTGAAAATTCCAGAAGTATAACACCTCCTGGCTGAATGCAGGGGTGCAAACAGTGTTAGCAGGACTCAGTTATACTTTCTCCATCTCCCAGCTCTTCTATCCTTTTGTTAGCTTTTATTTTGTTAATTAGAATACAGATCTGTTTTAGCCAAGGCCTAGAATAACAATGGCCTAAACAAGATAGAATATATTTTTCTCTGAGTTGACTTCAAGGACAGTCAGCTCAGTGCTGACTCTGAGGCATCACAGTGTTGGGGATCCAGGCCCCTGCCATCTTTTGTTGCACTTTCATCTCTAATATGTTTTCCTTCTCTATAGGGTCCCAAAGAACTCAGACCCCACCAGTATCTCAGTCTTCAGCTAGAGAGGAAAGAGAAGTTTAGGTCATTTTCCCTTGTAAGCCACAACCAGAAAGTTGTACACATCACTTCCTCTCACATCTCATTGGCCAGAATTTAGTCACATGGCTACACTTTGCTACAAAAGCATGCTGGGAAATGTAGTCTTTCAGTCAGGCTTTGAAAACCACAGCCCCATGCAGTACTGAGGGAACCTGACCAATCTTCCCCTCCATTTCCTCCAATAGTGGTAGCTGCCAATGACCTCAAGTGGCAGACTTCTGGCATTTTCCGGCCGTTCATTGAAGTCAACATCATTGGGCCCCATCTCAGCGACAAGAAACGCAAGTTTGCGACCAAATCCAAGAACAACAGCTGGGCCCCCAAGTACAATGAGAGCTTCCAGTTGTGAGTCTGGGGTGCTCTGGGGAGGGGGCATTTGCTGGGTTAACCTCAGCCCACTAGGCAGGAAGAATGTCTGATGGGCCAATGGTTCCAGGGCGCAGGAATGTGAGGGGTCACGTCCTAGGTGGAGTTGCTGGTTCCAGAAGCACCTTAGTGCAGGACTCACATCAAGGAGGGTACACTGAGATGGAGTTGACCACCTTGGGTGGCAGGCAGGTGTGATATAACATGATGAAGGCTTGTAAAGGGGAGGGAAAGTCTGGGCCATTTCTGGGGCTGGAGACTCTGGTGGTTAAGGAACGTGGGTGGTCATGGTGGGGGAGGAGGAGTGGGGGTGGGGACTCATGGAGTCAGCAGTGAGCCTTGTCAGAGCTGTTAAGGCAGGTCATCTGGAGGAGTCTGCTGTGAGGGGACAGGAGTAGACTGTGGCTTGGTCTAGGAAATGGGATTGCATGTCATGTGGGATGGGGGTGGGATCACATCTGGATTAGGGTTTCCTGGTGGGCAGCTGTGAGCTTGGTCAAGACATCAGGTGTCTAGAAGAGACAAACCTGGGGGACATAAATAAATCTGATCAGAGGTACAGAGGGGTTACCTGGGGGTGGGGGTCAAGTCATGTGGGTGGATTTCTGGGTGAGCTGTGAACCTCACTGGGGCAGGGTAATGTTGGGGGCTGTTCTTGAGGGACAGAAGTGCAGAGGGCATCAGCGCTGGGGAGAGTTGGGGCCCCCAAGGGACAACAGTCAGTCCAGTTGTGTTAGAAGAGGGAGGGGCCAGAGGACTTTGGAGTAGTATGCCATCTGACAGAATGCTTGGGAGCAAGAACAGGACCTAGTGGGGGGCATGTGCCTCCTGAGGTGGGCTGGAGTACTTGAGGGGTAGGAGTGCTATCTAAGAGGGCAACATGCAGGAGTGGTGTGGGCATGGCCAAAGAGAGGGGCTCTCCATCAGCTAGCATTTGGGCAGTCACCTGAGGGGTAGGAGCCCAGCTTCATTAGGGATGTAGCCTGGGGGCAGGGGGAGTCATCTGGACTGGGAGCTGAGACCTAAGGGCAGGGTCAGGTGGGGAGGGCATCTTGGGGATCTAGGGAGCACGGGGGAGGGCCACATCAAGGGGAGACCTTGGGTTCAGGTGGGAGCCTGCATTATCTGGAGCAGCAGGATGGTGAGAGTTGGCAGCTCAGCCGATTAAGGGTGTGGACGCTGGGTATCGGGTATCACAGAGTGGTGGGAACATGGCCTAGCCAGGGGGCTCTGGGGAAAGGGTCACTGGGGTAGGTACATGATTTGGCCAGGCGGATGGGGTGCCGTTGGGTGGGGAGCAAAATGGAGGGAAAAGAGACGTGGCAGGGACATTCCTCGGTGGTGGGGGGAGAGGAGGGGAGTCAGCTGGTGTGGACTTGGCAGGGCGAAGGGCTAGAGAGCCAATCACCTAGGGCAGGGTCTGATGGACCTAAAGAGGGAGGTTATGAAAATGGCGGATTGCGCGTGGGTGTGGCGAGCACGGGGGCGGGACCACAGGGCTGATGGAGTGGGAGGGGTCTGGCGTAGGGCGGGGCCATCGATTAGGGACCTACCCTGACGCCCCACCCTCCGCAGCACGCTGAGCGCGGAAGCGGGCCCCGAGTGCTACGAGCTGCAGGTGTGCGTCAAAGACTACTGCTTTGCGCGTGAGGACCGCACAGTGGGGCTGGCCGTGCTGCAGTTGCGTGAGCTGGTCCAGCGCGGGAGCGCCGCCTGCTGGCTGCCCCTCGGCCGCCGCATCCACATGGACGACACAGGCCTCACGGTGCTGCGCATCCTGTCGCAACGCAGCAACGACGAGGTAGCCAAGGAGTTCGTCAAGCTAAAGTCGGACACGCGCTCCGCCGAGGAGGGCGGTGCCACGCCTGCGCCCTAGGCGGGAAGCACTGACGGGCAGCACTGCGCCTGCGCGGAGAGCGCGGGGCGGAAGGCGCGTGCATGCAGGGACCCTCCTGAGGGCGAGTCTCCGGGTTCTGCGCGGAGGGCGGTCTGCGCCTGCGCTCTTGACTTAGCTTCCCACTCTGGGGAATTGTGAATGGACGGTGCCCCGCCCCTCTGGGAGGCCCAGCTCTAGGGCGCGGGGAAGGAAAAAGCCACATTCCCTCCTTGCGGCCACGCCCGCAGCGCCTACGGGGCCTTTCGAGCTAGGATGGGAGAACCCGCCCCTTATGAGGTCCCTCGGCTCTGGTCCCCTGCCTCCTGTCCCATGGAAAAGCCATAAGACGGGCCCCCAGACCCCGGGGCCCAAGACCAATTGCCAAGTACGGAACTTTCGGCTCCCTCGAGGGGCGGGCCCAGGGCAAGGGGCAGGGCTTCCCGGAGCGTCCCCTGAAGGGGCCTGGAGGCAGAAGGGACTAGGGCGGTAGTTGGAGGGCCCGGGTGGACCGGAGTCCCTTTTTACGTTTGTGTAAAAAATAAACTGGGAGAGGGAGGAGACTGGAATTTCAAAAGCACATGCGCCCTCCGGCGCCCAAACCCTGGGGGCCCAGGGAAGGGCTCTGGGGCACCCGCATTTACCCCCCACATGCCCAGTCCTCATCGAGTTCAACTCACTCATTTGACAGATGGCAAAACTGAGCCGCAGAGAGTTGCTGAGGCCCAGCGCTGGCCTGCCCCACTCCCTTGGGCATGTGTGCCCCATCCAAGGGTGGGCTGGGATGACCCGACTGAGCTCCCCGTTGCTGCTAACCCCCCTCAGGGGACCTCCCCCAACCCTTGTAAGGAATGGGGGTCTGGGCCAAGGCTACCACTGCCCCCTCCCACCTCTGGCTGCCAAAAAAAAGAGAAACCCCTGCCCTCAGCCGTTTCTGTTAGGACCCCATGGGAGATACCCTGAGAACTCTTGACCTCCTGCCAACAAAAAGAGAATTTGGGATTCCCTGGACCCAAATTTCTCTCCCAGAATTCTCTAGACAGAAAAGAACAGAAAGAGACCAGAAACTC